ACTCATGCATGTATTCATCAATAATTAAAAGAAATATAATTTACCTAGCGTTTTATACATGTATAGGAAGAATCTATTTGTATTTATATAAAATTTTGATTATTTATTTATCTACTTTTAATTATTAAAATTTATTTGTATTTATTAACAGTAATTATTTTTTACTTAAAAAATCATAATTAACCTTAATCATTAAAAATAAAGAATCAATAATTAAAATTATATATAAACATAATATACATAAAACTAATATATAAATAAATTTCCCTTTCTATATATATATATAAATTCTCACCGTCCTAAGAAGTGTCTTTATATGGGTCCTCAAAAGTGAAGATTCCTTATAGTTTAAGTAAACCACCTGCTTCTTTATCTTTTCTATATATGATCTACCAAAGTTTGAATTAACAATCAAATTATTCAACATGTAGCAAATTTTCCCTCCATGATTCATATTGACCCTTTCATTGTTTTGAAATTTGTGTAGAAAGCTTTTCTATTATTGGACACTTAATTTCATACTTTAATTACGTATATATTTTTTAACATTTAGGATATTTTTAGACAAATTTCTATATTCTTAATATTAATCCTCTTTCTTATTCCCTTCTCTTCTTAATTTGATTTTTTTACAAAATTTGTTACTTTAGCAAAGAGAACTAATTATTTGAACCATGTTACGAAATTTGCTTTCGGTAAAGTTTGTATATTATGAAGTTCATTTTTGCTGCCTACCTATGATATGTTGAAGCATCTTTAAGTTATTGTAAGACGTTAAAGTAAAGCCTATATATACTTTGAGGACTTTTTTCCTAATCTCCTCCTTTGACTATTACTTTATTTCATTTTCACCCTTTCTTTTTTCTTTGATTCTTTAATCAAATTTAATATGTGGTGAGAGATATATAGATCCCCACATACATATCGTGAGAGTGGGTATACACACCATTAAATTACCAAGAAAAACCATTAGAAATGTTTTTTAAAAGCCCATTAATCCCCTATAAAAATCATGGTCACTCCACTTCTTTCTACTCGCACACAAAACACATTTTCTTGCAATTTCTTTTCTCCTTAACCATGGCTAGATACGATAGGTCATATTTGCACTATCTTTCTCCTCCTCCTCTACACCTATGTTTCTTTGTCTTCATCCTATTCTTCGTTTTGGGCTTATCATGGTACATAAATTACGAGTCCATGTTTGAGGACTTGATCAGCCAGATCAAGTTCTTCCTCATGCTCTCTCCTCTAGTTTTGGTGCTCCTTGTTCACTTGTTTTCCGGTCGAACTAATTTCTCGGTGCCGTTTCCGGAGAAGGATTCCCTTCACCGAGCAGGGGGATCTCCGTGGGGGGTGGCTCTTCTGCTTGTGTTCCTTCTGTTTCTGGTCTCTCATCAGTCTTCTTTCCACGAACGTTGGTTTCCTTTTGGTGACTGAAAGAATGATTTCTAAATTAGAAAATATTAATTAAGTACGCAATCATGTTTGATGTGTAACCTTGGCTTGTTCTTTTTTGATATAGTTTTGTACTTGGGAAGACATGTAAGTAAAAATTTGGTACACCATGATCTTTTTCTTTTTTTCCTTTTTTTGGACACGTACAAATCCATGGACCATATATAAGGGATAATATAATTCTCCTTTTTTTCTTAAATTTTTTTTATTTAAATTAAGATTTAAATACAAAATTTTTAAATTAAAATTTTAAAATTTTAACAAGTGGACTTGCCATTGAGCAGTTATTTAACATCTACATATAAGGAAAACAATCAGTTAAGTTTACAAAAAAATTACTATTTAATCCAAATTACAATAGATTATATACAAAGACCAGTGTGAGGCAACTCTCTTATATTAAGAATTTTTTTTATTTAATTATTTTTATTTTATAATTTAAATTATATTAAATTATAAAATAAATATTTATATTTATATGCTTGTTTTTTTAAACCTAAATATTGGGCTTGTACATTAAAATAATAAAAGAGAAAAACGACCGGGCTTGAGTAGCATCTTTTGCCTTTTAATTTGTAAAATTTAATGGATAATACAACAGATTAATCTGTATGAGGACCAGTCCAGAACTTCTGAAGTGGCTCCCCTATCGCCCCAAAAGCAGGCGCCGGTATTACTATCATAATTTTTTGTTAAGGTTTATTAAAAATTGTTAAATTTTTATTTAAATTTGATGGTTAAAGATAATCAACAATTAATAAAATATTTATTATATATTATTTATTATTCAATATATTAAAATTAATTTTTAAATAAATATTTTTAAATATTATAATTAATTATTAAAAAAATGATAAACTATTAAAATTATAATTAAATTAGTAGTGTTTCGTAAAAGTAACTATAGTAATAACCTCATCTCAATAAGCCACTACACATGCATATATATACATATAAAATAAAAATTTATTTATATATAAATTTTATATATTATAATTACATAAAATTTCAAAAAATAAGTGTAATTTAAGTAGGTCAATAAATCTTAAATTTTTTTTTTGACACGGGAAAAATTAAAAGAAGGAGATAGTTAGGTGAGTTAGAACTCAAAATTTGAATATCTAAATACTGTTCTTCACGAGAATGATCAACAAACCATTTAGTGTCTGACAAATTTTACTATATATATATATATATATATTGGGTGTCGAAAGCGTGCGAGGGTGTCAATATTATACGTGTGAGATTGCAGATGGCACGTGAGTAGCAGGCCCACACCTTTTAGATTGTATGGGTCTGAGTGGGTAGCAGACTGTATACACCACGTACGCTGCTCTTACAAAACTGTCCAAAGAGTATTGCAATCCCACGTCTATGCCACTCCTCTTTTCCTCTCTATTTACCTTTTCGTTTTTTGGACCAACCCCCATTTACATCGCAATGGAAGTTCCTATGCATCTAGTAACACTTAAAAATTTTAGGTTGGAGCTTTTAAATTTAAAATTTTAGATCAGTGAAAGAAAAGAATTTATAAAGAGAATATGATCTCTAATATGGTCCAGTTATGATCAGACGTTTTTTTAAAAAATAAAAATATATCATAATAAATTGTCTTGGGTTAAGTGGTTTTTTTTTTTTTTTTGACAAGGGTAATGATCAGGAAGTCAGTGAGTTAATTGTTAGCAATTGATTCTCAGATCGGGTGAACATTTCACCCTCTCAAATGAGTCAAATGAGGCGTGCAGTTACCAAACCATTTTTTGATAGAATTCACGACAGTGGTGGAGTTCAAAGTTCCGTTCACCTCACCCAAACACTTAAGACTTGGGGTCGAACCATTAAGCCACGAAACTTGGTTCGGGTTAAGTGGTTATTGATTCCCTTTATATTGTATGTACGGTTATTGATTCCCTTTGTGTTGTATGTACAAAGGCATTAATTGTTGGATGAATTTTATTCAAAAGTTGTGATGATTAAAAGTGAAGAATGTAGCTTAATTTAGGCTGGCTAGGTGCAAGGGGACAAGCTCTAGGCACCCCAGAACCTTTATCAGTGGGGGAGGGGATTATCATATTTCTACCACCCAAAATGTCAACTTTCTATGGTGTGTGAAGGAAATTTTTGGAAATTATGATCACCAATTTTACTGAAACACTACAATTCAACGGTATCTATTGCATCCCAGTTTGATATGTTAACTTAAAAATTAACTATGATGTCAGAATAGAGGTGTAAGCACATGCAAAACTAGTTAGGGAATACAAGGTAAGGGGGTGCTTTCAACTTTAAGATGGAGGCCTTAATTTTTATGTTTTAAATTTTAAATTGAGTGAAAATTTTTTTTTTTTAAAAGTAATTAACAATGAAAAAAATAAAGAAGAACTGAATAGAGTAATTATCTTAATTCAAGTAAATGGAAAAACAAAGCAAACAACAAACCAAAGCTCTAATGTTCTCAATTTTCCTTGGAAAATCTTGGGAGCAGCGGTATCCTAAAATATTAGTACCTACCCTTACTTTGTTCCAACAAAGATCAAAGGAAAAACGCACCCTGAAATATTATACTAGCATAAATAGATGCTGCAGCCTGCAAGGAAGTAAAATTAAGTTGAAAGGAAGCAATACATTCAACTTCTCCCGTTAACATTACAATTTATAAAAGAAAAGAGCGGAGTCAAGAAAGAGATTCAAGGTGATTCTCTCCTGACATATGACTTCCAAGTTTAGAAACTACTGATGAAGTTTGACCAACAGGAGAAGAAAACTTCACTTAGTTAAGTTGCGTCACTCAAAAGATAAGGTTATGCAGAGAAGGCTGGTAGGATATGAGAAAGCAAAGAAGGAACAGCACAAAGGCAACCCCCCAAGGTGAGCCCCCAGCTCGGTGGATGGCACCAGGCTCAGACCCTGGCATGGGGATGCTGAGGCTGCTGCCAGTGGACAGCCAGTGAACCACAATCACCAAGAGAAGTGGGGATATTACCAACAAACGTTGCAGCAGCTCAGATGCTGTAGCCATTATTGCATCATAGACTACATAACACAAGAACCCACAGACCAGAGCTGTTGCTACCGTTAGAAGCCATTGCTCTGAGCGAGTGAAGCTTGAAGCTCCTGGTATGGAAGGTGGAGCCATGAGTGGGGAAAAGATGAAGTGTAAATGTGAAGGAGTGAAGAGTGGAGTAGTAGGATTCAGATGGGTTGGAGAAGCAGCTGCATTTCCTTTTGGTAAGAATTATTGAGCTAAAACTTTATTCGTACCTGTTGTCATGTAGCAACATTTCTAACCAGGAATATTTTTTTTTCACCTAATCTCAAAGGTAGAATGTAATGTGATTAATTATCTTGTCTGACCTCCTTCCATGTGAGAGGCATTCCAAGGAGAAAAGTAATTTTAATCCGGATTAAAAAAAAAAAAAAAAAAGTCAGTCCCTACATTGACAGTGACCCTGTGACATGTGGTCTTATTGTTAAAAAATTATTAATACAGTTCAAATGGTAATAATTTATGTGAATCCTAAAATTTTATTCATGAATTTTTGTGATTTGATAATTTATATTTTATAATTTAATATGGTTAATTGAATTATAAATCATATTAAATTATAAAATATAGAAATTGATAAAATTATTTACCAATGAACAAATGAGACATCGGAGCAAATGGATAGAGCTCATTAATAAACAAGAGATAACAACGATACGTTGATATAAGTGAAAAAAATTTAGTTTTTATTAAATAAAATTTTAAATTTAAATTTTTTAAATAAAAAAATAAGCATTAAGAGAGTTTTTTCATAATGGGTTTGATGCCATTCGATTTTAAATTAGTTGAGACTCAATGTGATTATTGAATACTAAGAGTGTAATAAAAAAATAAAAGAGAAGAGACAGTGTTCACCTAGGTATGAGAAAACGATGTCGCATCAGCTGGCACCCACATGACAGAAAATGCAAAAATTGCTTCCGAGTTACGACGACCAAATCGCCTTGAGTGTACAGAAGATCGGGAAGAAGAAAGAAGATGAAACCTACAGAGATAACAGCAATGAAATCCAACATCAATACCCCAACCCAATCGCAACAGAAGAGCGAAACGTCGCAAAAACCCTACTTCAGACCTGCAAAAGACGACACCAAGCCTGTGCTTCAAGACCCCGTACTCTCCCTTCATTCCAGAACTCATTTTGCATTTTTCGCAACCTCATCTAACCATTGTTTCTTTTCTCTGTTCGCAGATAGTTCGATCCGATCCAATAGAAACCGAGGAAGCTGTGCTCCGATTGCCTCCTTTTCCTGCCCCCAAATCATCCTAATTTCAATCCCATGATTTCAAATCCTATTCTAGGGCTCGCTTCAGGTTTGATTACCATTTGGGTCTTTATTATTTTGCATTTGATGTTCCAGAATGATGGATATATAATATATTTCTAGTAACATCTTTTGCTGTTTTGAGAGTAAATTCCTGAAACATAGCGATTGTTCTAGAAACAATAATAATTGGATGCAAAACCATGATCCCTTGATTTGAATGTATTCATTGCTCATTACAATAATTTCGAACATAAAAATCCAGTTAAATTGAATGAGTTTAGAATGGAGCTAAACATGTTAGTTGGTACGGATGTAGTGGTATGGAAATTCCACTCCCAAAAATTGCACTTTTTTTTTGGGTCAAAACAAAAAAATGAATTAGTAATTTCATCTAATCTTGAGTTGTCTCAGACGAGATACGTTCTGGGATGTTAGGGAATCCTGCAGGGAGCTTCAATAATGGTTCGTTTTCGTTGCTTGCCAAACCTTGGTAGGCCAAGCCTAATGAGTATCCAAGGGCACGAGCAACAGGCACTGCAACAGCGTTTCCCACTTGAATGTACCTATAACAATTTGAATCATGGATATGTATTTAGAAGCAAGAACACATTACATTCATCAAAAAATCCTGGTTGGTATACGCTGTACCTCTCTTTAATAGGCCCAAAAAGCTTGTAATAATCCGGGAATCCCTGGAGTCTCGCATTTTCCCGAATTGAAAGGACACGATCTTGTTCAGGGTGTAGAATTGCCTGCAAAGACGCATCCTTGTCTTGGCTCAGACAACAGTCTAACATATGTATGGAGGTGGGCTAATAGAATATTAAACCATAAATGAAGAGATCGTAACCTGGTTATGAGGTTCTGCCCTTGTGACAACAGTTGGTACTGTTTCATCCCACCATAGACGAGCAAATGGCCTATGCAGGCTCAAAGGGTTTAGATAATCAAGCCGAAAACTTGAAACAAATCCATGACAAAAACAAACCTCAAAAGGCTTACTTAGATGATGAACCGTTGATAAATGTCATTGCATAATCTGGGACCTGTTATTGTTTAGAATGTGATATTGTGAGATTCAAAAGCTCAATATAAAGATGGTAAAAGAGATGGAAGGAATCTGAACAAAAAACACCTACCAGAGGTTTCCCTGATTCCAGTTTCACCCTTGGAACCTCAGGATCCCATTCAACTTTGTTATCTGGACGCACTCGAACGCCTGGCAAATCTCTAAAATTTGCTCCCTGGCGCCATAGAAAATAAAAGGCCAGAGACAGGCAATTCAGCAAGTCAGATAAAAAGCAGTGTAGGAGTCTGAGATTATAGACAGTGCATGTCCTATTCAGCTTGACAAAAAAATTATAATAACCTTCCTCTTGGGGATCTGGCAAACACGTTGATGATCATCTGTATTCAATTCCAGGGGACGATGATCAAACAACAAACTTTTAGCTGAATGGAGATTTGATGAACCCAGCACATCTACAAGAACAAAGATATAAGTTTATGGTCCTCGTTAAATCATGATCATCACTGATTATGAGAAATAAGAAAAGTGTTGATAAAAACTAAGCCCTGACCTTTTCTTGACCTAATAAACTGTTGAAATTCTGTTTTTGGATTCTTATCATATGGCATTTCATCTCGCGTTTCATTGTTCCCAACCTAATTGCAATGAACCAAAATCAACCAACATATATGTAAAAGGATAAATGAATCAAGTAAATTCAATCAACATTCTGATCAAGAGAATGAAACATACAGCTGGCAAGTCAGAAATTGCATCTTCCAATAAAAGCTTTTTCTCCAACCCTGGTTTTTCTCCTTCATTATATGCAACAGTGTTCATCTGCACCCATCAAATATAGAAATAAATAAGGAAGCTCTCTTTAAGCAAAACCAAAGACATTATGCTTTCTATACCTCAAACTCAAGGGGAATGACACCTCGTACTACAACATCATGTGTGGGAAGAGGGTATTGAGGTAGCTTCTGCAAAAAGCTAAACCCACATAAATAAATGAAAATCTAAAACACCATGTATTTGGAGTAATAAATTCATGAACTCACCTCTGTTGGTTGAGCACCCCACAAGAAAACTCGCATGCGAAATTGAGGAAGCCCATACGCACCAGCTGCCATCATCCCCATCCGGGTTTGATAGTTCATTTTAATTAACCGAGCCAAGGCATATCTTCCCAAAAAGCCATTGGCAAACTTAACAATATCAACAACATTTTCCATCAAAACGAACTTCGGCTTCAGATACTCTACAATCTCCATGAAGACAACTAGTTGCTTGTTCTTCTCATCGTCTAAAGGTTTCTCCTTGTTTCTAAACCTATTGAAACCACTAATGCCTTGGCATGGAGGGCCCCCACAAACCACATCAACATCACCCTATAGGATTGGAAGAATAAAACAGACAAGCTTAAGACTTTTCTCTGAGCACTAGAGTAATGCATACTACATAGCATATGAACTAAAGAAGCTTACTGGGAGTGGGATAATCTTCGATTTATAGCCATCTCTGACAAAACTTTTAATGGTTTCCTGAGAATTACTGTAACCATATACTGCATGTGAGACATGTTTATGTCTAGACTCTAGATAAGTAAAGTACAAAGGAAATATAAATATCAATTGCATACCCCAAACCTCCAAATGGTTCCCATGTATCATCTTGAGGCCCATAATTTTTCCAACGAACCTACAAGAAAAAAATTTAATGGAAAATAGTTAAGTATAACACACTAACAGCTTGAACTGCAGACATATTTTACTGCATGTTCCATAGGACTGATCATTGAACTTAGTCTAGTTACAAACACAAGTTCAATAATCATGCATGCAATTAAGATTATATTAAATTCTATATTAAATAAAACAGCAGGGTTTAAGTTATACCTTTAAGTATAATCCAGTCTCTCCCATTTCTTTGGGATCACCATAACATATATCAAGAATTTTTTCAACTTCAAAAACCTCAGAATCATTATCACTATCACTTTGTTCATCATCACCTCTATCATCTTGCAAACCAAAAGGATTGAAAACTTGCTCCTCCGAACTTTCACTTTTATCCAAACAAAAATAAGTGCAAAGTTTTTTCCACTCCTTCATAAGTGATAAAAAGTCTTCTGCAGATTCATTCCTCACCTGGTATACAAAGACACTGCATCTAAGAATATGCTTGCATATAACAACAAAAAAGCAAATGAAGCAAAATAGTATTGCAGGTGTGACCTGTGTTTCTGGATGGTTCCATTTGAGACTATCACATGCATGTGAACTCAAATCAACAGCCCACCCCTGCCAAAAGACAAAAGAAATAAATGCCTAGATTTAAGTAAAACCATTGTAGAAACATTTGTGCATTTAATCAAATTAATTGCAATAATTAACTTACTGTCTGAAGATTCAACCCAGCCATTTTTGCACCTAGGCACAGACCAGTTGACATACCACCACACCCAGAGTATAAATCCAGCAATGTCACTTTTCCCAAGTCTTCTTTGTTATCAGATTTTACTTCATTTGCATTATTAGTATCGACATCACTAGAAATAGTAGACGATGTCTCACTGCCATTTTCACAATTTTCTGTAAACAAAAAGGAACAGAAAAATCTAACATAAGGAACAAACTTTTGACATGAGAATAATCAACACAAGCTGGTTACACTGACCTGGTAAGTTAACAAATGTTGAATATGGTAACAAATATAGCGTGTCACAGTAATAATCACAAGCTGGAATTTTCTCCATTTTTGTCTTCAAGTCCACCTAAAATGAATCTCTATACATTAGCAAGTTGGATGAATAAACAAAATAAAATCAAAATACAATTATGTGGCAAGTATACATTTAGTGGCACTTTTGCAATGGTTAATCTCTTAACTAGACAGTCCAAAGGGTTATCATCCTTGACCTCTGAAAAGAATACACGCTTCTTATCAATTAAATTGTCCACATCTTTTATGACCTGCAAAATAGAGATCAAACAACACATGGGAGCAACATTAACCCAAAATTACATGAGAATATAACCATCATCAAATCAAGTCCAAATTTATATTACAGTGTCTCTGGCTCTGTAAAACCACTGAGCTGTAAAATATGGCTTCCCATCAATTGCTTCAAACATTTCAACAATCTTGCAAATGTAACAATCCATGCCTTCTCCAGCCTAACAGAAAAAAAAAGAGTGTAGTCTTAGTTATTTCCATAAATTAGTGAAAAGAAAAACAGAAATTGTCTTTCAAATATAGCTAGAAAGAAGAATTAGCAAGAAAAGAAAAATCCCATAAATTTTGACATTGATTTTAATGAATCAAATCTCTATTATCAATCTCTAGTTTGCAATAGAATTATCTTAAGATCATCCAACCACCTTCTTTATCCCATTTTTTTGTTAATCCGTAACTTTTATAGATATTGTTTCTATATTTAGGCAAACATCTCTGTATTTATCCCCAAATACCACTTATAGGTTCAAGTTTCCACCACAACTAACCATCAAATTCCAGGTGACATCAATATGTTCCAGACAATACCATTTACTGGATTCTATCAGACATCCAAATTCATATGATAAACATACCTGCACATGGGCGTCATCATTGAGATCATATATAACTCGCCCATCAACCTCTGCCCGAGTGTAATGCCTCCGCGCTTGAATAACCTCCTCATCATCCTCACTAGGCCAAAGAAAAATGCTAGTAAATACGATTAAATTCAGACAAACAAGGTAAGGCAGCTATTGAAGAATAAACACTTACTCATTTCCTTTTACCCCTCTCCTGTTCTTCTGAAAGCATGAAATTATGAAATCCCATCAAATTTCAATTTACCAAAAAAAAAAAAAAAAATGAAAACAGTTGAAGTAGTTTGTTTCCCTTCTTAGTGAAGAGTTAAAATCCCACATTGAAAAAATATAAAAAGAAAGAGTGACTTATAGATGTGAAGACACATGAAGTTACTACGTTAGCCTTTTGATTCTAATATGATATCAAAATATGTAATGGACCGCTAAGTCTAAAAAGGCATTCACAACTCACTGAAAGGGGTAGTGTTGAAGTAGTATGTTTCAGTAATGTTACCCAGGGGAGTGTGAAATGGCGTGTTCAAAGGTAAGTGTGAAGAGCCTTATGTCTCTCCAACAAAAACAAGAAAAGAATCAACATTAAGATACACTCACCTTTCCCTCGTAGCGCTTAGGCCACCGCTCCCTTGCTTCTTCATCAGGAACCGGATCACCAATAAACCTGGCATCCGGCACATCATCATCCTCTTCATCAACATCGGCAGTTTTCCCTCTCGCTTTTGACTTGGACTGCAGGGTTTTAGAACCCACTTCTCGTTGATCCATCACGTCTACTTTCTCCTCGACTGTCTCAACTTGGTTGCTGCAGATCTCCTCTGCGTCAGCCATTTCTTCATTTAGGAAAGTAGACGGAGCCACCTCGGCTGCTTCCGAATCATGCTTCTTTAACTTCGAAGTGGATCGCGTTTGCCTCCTAAAGGAAGCAAATTCTGCGGAAGGGGCTGATTTCCGCTTGGTAGACATTGAGGGAAGATGTGAGGTAGAAAGTCAGAGCGGCGGGACGGGGAGAGGAGACGCTAGAGCGGCGGCGGCCAATTCAGTTTTGGAGGGATTTTGGGTTTTCTAGAGAAAAAGTGGAACTTCTCAAAAGGAAAGTTGGGGGGAAGTCAAATTTTGAGGTTTTTTTGAAAGGAAGTTTTGGAGGGAGATATTTTTAAATGAGCAGTGCTAGGAGCACCCGCCTCCTGCACTCTCCGGCCAACACTCTCCCTTTCATTGGGCCACGTAAGGTTGTTTAAGCTCTAAAGTGCAACCTCTCGCGAACTAAAATAACGTGGCCCATGGCATACTCTGTACCTCGCTTTAATAGGCCCAAAAAGCTTGTAATAATCCGGGGATCCCTTGAGTCTTGCATTTTTCCGAACTGAAAGGACACGATCTTGTTCAGGATGTAGAATTACCGGTGAAGACGCATCCTTGTCTTAGCTCAGACAACAGTCTAAAATATGTATGGAGGTGGTCTAATAGAAAATTAAACCATAAATGAAGAGATTGTAACCTGGTTATGAGGTTTTGCACATGTGACAACAGTTGGTACTGTTTCATCCCACCATAGACGACCAAACGGCCTATGCAGATTCAAAGGGTTTAGATAATTAAGCCGAAAACTTGAAACAAATACATGATAAAAACAAACCTCGAAAGGCTTACTTAGATGATGACCAGTTCATCAATCTCAAGAAATTATCTTGGATCTGTTATTGTTTAGAATGTAATATTGTGAGGTTCTGTTGGAGTTGTGGTGTGAAAGCTGCACCAAGAGCAGCAAATGAAAAGAAAGCTGCACAAAATGGCAGCAAAATGAAATGAAAGCAGAGCTGCACCAAGAGCAACAACAAAAGTGCAGCAAACGAAGCTGCAAATGTTGATGAAATGAGGCTGAAATGAACAGAAAATGAAATGCAAATGAAAGGCTGCAAAGTAGCAGCAAAGCACAGCACATGGACCCGCACAAATGGCAGCAAATCTTTGAAAGTAATCTTGCATTAAATGTTTAGGAGATTTTCTTGTACTAGGTCAAAATTAGGTGAGAAAAGTAATGTTGAGGTATTAAGTGATTTCTGCTATATAATGGCAGAAGATGAATGAAAAGAATGGGTTCGACCTCACCAAATGAGGTAACTCCACCGGTGTGTCTCCCTTCTCCTCCAAATCCTCTCTCAGTTCCTCCCTTCTAACCTCAAAAAATCTAACAGGTTCAAAAGCTAAATATAAAGATGGTAAAAGAGATGGAAGGAACCTAAACAAAAAAAAAACCTACCAGAGGATTCCCTGATTCCAAATTCACCCTTGGAACATCAGGATCCCATTCAACTTTGTTATCTGGAAGCACTCGAACACCTGGCAAATCTCTAAAATTTGCTCCCTGCCATCACAGAAAACAAAAGGCCAGAGACAGGCAATTCAGCAACTCAGATAAAAAGCATTGTAGGAGTCTGAGATTATAGACAGTGCATGTCCTATTCAGCTTGACAATAAAATTATAATAACCTTCCCCTTGGGGATCTGGCAAACACGTTGATGATCATCTGTATTCAATTCCAGGGGACGATGATCGAACAAGGAACTTTTAGCTGAATGGAGATTTGATGAACCCAGCACATCTACAAGAACAAAGATATAAGTTTCTAGTCCTTGTTAAATCATGATCATCGGTGATTATGAGAAATAGGAGAAGTGTTGATAAAAACTAAGCCCTGACCTTGACAAACATCAAATTCTAGGTGACATCAATACGTTCCAGACAATGTAATACCATTTACTGGATTCTATCAGACATCCAAATTCATATGATAAACATACCTGCACATGGGCGTCATCATTGAGATCATATATAACTCGCCTATCAACCTCTGCCCGAGTGTAATGCCTCCGTGCTTGAATAACCTCCTCATCATCCTCACTAGGCCAAAGAAAAATGCTAGTAAATAAGATGAAATTCAGACAAACAAAGTAAGGCAGCTATTGAAGAATAAACACTTACTCGTTTGCTTTTACCCCTCTCTTGTTCTTCTGAAAGCATGAGATTATGAAATCCCATCAAATTTCATTTCACCAAAAAATAAAAAATGAAAACAACAAGAAAAGAATCAACATTAAGATACACTCACCTTTCCCTCGTAGCGCTTAGGCCACCGCTCCCTTGCTTCTTCATCAGGAACCCGGCATCCGGTACATCATCATCCTCCTCATCAACATCGGCAGTTTTCCCTCTCGCCTTTGACTTGGACTGCAGGGTTTTAGAACCCACTTTTCGTTGATCCATCTCATCTACTTTCTCCTAGATTGTCCCAACCTGGTTGCTGCAGATCTCCTCTACGTCAGCCATTTCTTCATTTCGGAAAGCAGACGGAGCCACCTCGGCTACTTCAGAAACATGCTTCATTAACTTCGAAGTGGATCGCGTTTGGAGGGATTTTGGGTTTTCTAGAGAAAAGTCGAACTTTTCAAAAGGAAAGTTGGCAGAAGTCAAATTTTGAGGTGTTTTCGAAAGGAAGCTTCGGAGGGAACCCAAACCCTTAAGGGTGCGTTTGGGTATACTTCTGCCCTCTAGCTGAATTCCATTAGCGGTAGATACGAGATATTTATAAATGAGCAGTGTTAGGGGTACTCGCCTCCTGCACTCTCCGGCCAACACTCCTCCTTTCATTCGGCCACGTAAGGTTGTTTAAGCTCTGAAGTGCAACCTCTCGCCGAATTAAAATAACGTGGCCCAATGAAAGGAGGAGTGTCAGCCGGAGAGTGCAGGAGGCGAGCGCCCCTAGCACTGCTCTTTTTAAATTTCATCTTATTATATTTAGGAATAGGGTTTATTTATTTTGTATTCTAAGAATATGAAAAAAAAAAAAAAGAATTATCAATGAAATATTAATTTAGTAATTATCAATTATCAATTATTAGATATTTCAAATAAATAAATCAAATAAATCCAATTAAAATCCCTTGTATGTACTAGGAGCGAAAAAGTAAAAAGTTAACAAATTTTATTCACATGAAATTTTGTGTACCTTCAGCAAAGTTGGTTTGCTTGATGGTGCCAAACACCTCCATCACCCTGGACAAACTCAATGCTCTTGAAGGCCTGAGGCATGAGCTTGGGGACGAGGATGTGGGAGTCAATGATCAAAGCCTTGAACATCCTGGATGGAGGGATGAAGGTGGTGATCTCCTCGGTAATGGTGGTGACGCCCATGTTTCTGCCTGTTAATTAGGAGAAATTGATGAAATTTGTGCACGAAGAGGTGAGATTAAATCTCTTACGCTTAGTGGAGTATGAGATGGGCCAATGTAATCTGTGGCATTTATTTATAGGAAAAACGATTGAGTGAAGAGTGGAATATCCGATTTGGTCTCTCAACTTTCATTTTTGAATCAAATCTATTCTTAAACTTTAAAAAATATTAAAAGTATCTTCAAACTTTAATTTTTAGTATTAATTTAGTTCCTCCGTCAGTTTGCTGATGTGGCAAAATTCTCCGTTAAATAATTTCATTTCTATTAATATTGAGTATGAGGTGGAAACAAAGTTGATGATGCGTTATTTTTTTAATTATAAAGCATTGTGATACAGTAATTTTTAAAACAAATGATATGGATATAATTTAATAAATAGTTATTAAATGAAAATTTTAAAATTACTTTCATGCCCCTATAGTTATCTCCTTCCCCCATCCCTATCTTCTTCCTCTCTTGATTGAGGATAGATTTGGTTTAAAATTTTAATTTTTAATTTTTTAAAGTTGATTGAGGACATAATTTTAATTTTTAGTATTTTTTAAAGTTTAAGGATAGATTTGGTTTAAAAATGAAAGTTGAGGGACCAAACCAGGTATTTAACCTAGAATTATTTGGGTCTTTAGTCCAGTCCTTAGTGGCTGGCGTACAGCGCACTCCATTGCTGAATTGAAGGACACTTTAGTATGGAAGGGTTCTTACTTCTTGCCCAACTTCTAGATTTTTAGCAATCAAAGTCTTCTCATAAGATGTCCATTAAATGATTAATAGTTATGTCACTAAAAAGAAGGGTGTTAAAATATGACATCTTGAATTTCAAACTTAAGTACTATTAATTTCCCACCCCAAAAATTCCCTAAGTTCATAAAAATAAATAAAAGAGTCTTCTAGTAAGATAAGCCCCTCAATCAACTATGGTGGGTAAATGCAGCAACAGTCCAAATAGCTAAATCAAACAAATCCAATTTGAATCCCTTGTGTATATTTGGGAGCGAAAAATAAATAATAATAATAATAATAATAAAAGGACAATTATTTTTTAAGAATAAGATAAAAAAATAAAAAAAAAATCTCACCCATTTATGGTAAAAAAAATAAATAATTAAGATTTTATGTAAGTAATAATATAGAAGTTATTATACAAAAAATATGTATAAAAGTCATATACGAGTAGAGTTTTTTTGTTAGTATGCATAGAAGTTATACATTCCAATTCATATATATAAATATCTTGCTCAAAAATAAAATATAGAACATAAGAATAGTGCATATCAATTTAACTCAAAAAAAAAAAAACCCCACTAAAGTTTCAATCTTAAATAACATCATTTTATTTAATTAAAATTTAATTTAAAATTCAAAAATACACCTTTTTAGATATTGTTTCCTACATTTAGAAACTAATTATATATTTAGAATATAATCAATTTTTAAATACATGTATCAATATTTAATAAAATAAATTTCTTAATTTTGAATTATATTTTTAATTTATAAATATAAATAACAATATTTAATAAATTAAATTTATGAATTCTAAATTAAGCATAATTAGGTGAAACAATATCAATTAAAATTAAGATTTTAGTTCTCTCTTTTAAATTAAAATTAATTTGCACTATTTTATAAAGTATATACTCGATATGAGTAGAAAAATTTTCAATCACTTATTTCAAAATTTAAAACAATAAATACAGTACTTGACTAAAATGAATGACATTTGAGTAGCCATATTTACTCTCAAATTTGTTTATTAACTGATTCATAATATATGTATCTGTTAACTTTAAAATCCTAATATCAAACTACCGATTATGGTACACTATTTGTTACTAAAAATAAATGAAACAAAAAACTTTATTGAGCAAGCCGGTAACTTCTTAAATAACTCAAAAGCAATAGCTTAATTAATTAGAACTTGAGAAGGGTCATCTCTTATGTATTCCATCTTAAATGTACTCATAAAACGAAGAGAACCTAGCTTCCATATATTAAAAGTCTCAAATTCCAAACATAACAATTGGTATCAAGAGAACCTGATCCATAAAATCGAATGACATCGTCACTCTTGTAAAGGTTCACCTTTCCCCTCCCCTTGGGCAATGGTTCAATCCGCCCCATAACAATTATTCAAAAAAACAAAACAATTGGTATCAAGAGGAATGCTAAATGCAGTCCAGAAAATACCGAGTGCACTTTTTATTTTATTTTATTTTAGTTTTTTTGCAAAAAAAAATGAAAATGAAAATTCACTCCTCACCCGCACCATCAGGCGCGGAATGTACAGGCGCCATACCAAATAAGAGAACCAGGTCATGTACGATTTAAATATGAATGTGTAGATATATATATCATACACGATTCAGTGCACTTAAACCAGCTGATGTTCAATTAAAATATGAATGTGTGTACATTTAATATGCAAAGGCCAAAGGAAGTAATAAGAAACCAGAATGAGGGTAGAGTGAAAACTTCTGCTCGAAGACCAACTTCCAAGTTTCCTCCCCATCAAAATGCACTGCAATCGTAGCAATTTCAAGAAACAGTTCGCCCATAGCACAAGCAGGCAAGATAAAGGTTTTTTGCCCATTTTTCCTGCATTTAATGAAACCAGAAAAATAATCAATCTACATGCGGCTCAGAGTTGGGAAGATATAGCCCATTTTTGATACTTGTCATCCGGCAACGTGGTACCAGATATATCCATGCCTTAAAGCTTCATGGACCAGAAAAGCATAGCAAGTTTAATGAGAGTAAAATTTCACACAAATAAGAGCATTGCCTTCACATGTGTACTGGGAAATTGAGAGGTGCGTAGAGTTTCCTGAGTTTCATCACCAGGTCGACGCCTGGGAATGCTCAGGATAAGAGCAGCCTGGTCACTGGTTGCAGCTGTTGATGTGATTCGATAACCATTATCCCACCGTTTGTGGATGCCCTCACTAGGATAGAGAAAATCTAATTCAACCACCTACAGTGCCCATCAAAGTTTAAATTTAAGCTCAAACAAAAGAAGAAAACCATCTATCAATCTTTGCAAGATCAGTGTAGGAAGTACTAAACTTGTAATTTGTAAAGGAACAAAAATTCAATCCACAGAAATTAAGTTCGACCTGATCACTGAACCCAGCATTGCGAGACATGACAACACCCCATCTGTTTCCAGCAGTCGCCATGGATGTTACATGAAACCCTTCCTTCCACTTCTTATTAATCCACTTAAAAGGGAAAGAATCACTCACTTTATAAGATTGCTGAGTGTATTGGGTGCCTACAGAAATTAAATCATAATTTTGTGATCTAATTCATAAAATTTAGTAGCAAAAAGCCTATAGATGCTCAGATATTGTTAATGCTCAATTACAAATCTTGGCAAAAGTCTGCAGGATAGTTTAAGCAAACATATTATTAGCAAAAATGAAGTTCAGGTCAAATTGATTGTTATGTTCCCAAAGGGTTGCTTTAGCTCACAGCTATGTATAAGAGCAGGACCACTAGCACTACGCATAATGTGCAGCTAATGAGCAAAGGCAGTAAAAGTTGGACCATTAGTCTACCTTAAAAACAACAGAAATGGCAACTGTAAATGCAATCATCATAAGAAAGGCAATTGTTTAGGACATGAATACCAGAATGGTTCAAATAATAAACAATTAACAATATAAACCTTTGGACATCACAACAAGGGAGCTTCCAACATTTGACCCAGCAACAGAACTTATGTAATAGTTCTTCTCCCACTGTTCCATGATCCACTCCTACAAATTAGGAAGAATAAGTCCATGGTCAAAAATACCATTAGTTAGCAAAGCTATGGCATGCATTAAGGGAAATTACTTTGGGTAAGAATGAGGGTGAACGTTCATAAACTTGGGAGGTGAAACCAGTTCCAGCATCCATAATTAGTGCCCAAAGATTGCTACAAGATGATACACAACTTATTAGCAGACCATCTGTCATTCCTTTGTCCACATGTTGTGCCAACCTTGCATCAGCCACATTATAATGGTACCTATTTCATGGTAAAGGAGCAAGTCAAAAGGTAGACAAAGGAAGAAGACTAGTATTTGACAAATAAGAAGGTTCTTTTTCTCCTGGAGGTTTAAATTCTGATGATCCATCAGCCAAAGGTATAATCACCTCTGCTTCATAGGCTGTCTAGCATTGTAAACTGAAATCCACTGAGTAGCAGGAACTCCTAGACGGACCTTCTTCTTAGGTTGCCCATCATCTTCTTCAATGTTTAACCTACCCCGCTTTTGGCCAACCTGAAAGATAATCAAGCAGTGTCATATCAATGGTAATCATAGCTTCCTGAAAAATGTTTCAGAAAAAGAAGTCTAATTGATTCAAATGTGACAACAACTACCTTCTGAGCACCATCAGTGTTTATTGGCCTTAAAGTTGGGTTTGAACTTAATAAGCTGTCAAATAATGATATTAGTTTTGCATAGTTGGGCTCCTCATCAAATTTCATGTTCATCACAATCTCAAGAAATTGTTTAAGAGGTGCAGGGCAGAAACAGCAAAGCACTTCAGGAGTTGTTGCCATCTTCTTCTTGCAAACTAGGAAGGATTTGTTGTCACCCTAACAGAATAAGACATGACAAGAGAAGATGGAAGAAGAAGATGTGAGAATACAGTTTCTACAAACCATCCCAAAAACCAAAATTATAACGCATACCTGATAACCTTGCCATGGTAATCTGCCTCGATGTAAGAATATAAGAGTGTAGGCTAGGGATTCAAGATCGTCTCTCCTACTGGCAGTTCTTCCCAAGTGAGCATGAACACTAGCATATCGAACAGTTCCTCTACAAATACAAAACATAAATGGATCAGAAATAGCAAAAAGAGACTAATTGCAAATAGCCAAAGTCAACTCACCTAAACATGTCAGGACGTTGATCATAGTCAACATGCTGTCCGCTGCCGCCGTCCTTCCACTTTGTTGCTGCAATGACATGTATTGAAATAACATAAGAAGGGAACCTAAAGGGAAGATGAACAAGGGATTCCAAAGTTTACATGAAATTTACTTGCCTAATCCAAGGTCAACAAGAAAGAGCTTTTTCTCCTGTGATGTAGAGGGTTGACCAAGTAAAAAGTTCTCTGGTTTAACATCTCCATGCACATAACTGAGATCAGTCCACAGAGAGGTCAATATTCAAGTGAGGATTCAAAGCCAAAGAGGCAAAATGTACAAAGAAAGCTAGGGTTATCATCAAAAGAAAGGTTTCTGCAACCATAGATCAACAGAAAACTCTACAGGATTACATACCCTTTTGAGTGCATCTTCTCAAGGATTGATAGAGACTCAACTGCAATGCAAGCTACCATTTCTGTCGACATCCTGCATATTGAGTTGTGGAGGAAAAAAATTACATAATTAAGTTCAATATGAACATGTGCAAGATCCACAAACAGCAATTTCCATTCTGGCCCAAAAAGAGATCCATAAACCATACAAGATTGAGGCCAAAAGCAAACGACAGAAATATAAGGGCCAGTGTTACTCACGCTTGCCCTGAGTTATTCCAAACATCCCATAAGCTGGGGCCCAACATGTCCATAACCTGAAAATGCAAACAGATATGGTCATAGCCGGTGTTAAATTCCATGGTTAGGTTTGAAATGTAAAAGGAAATGGGTTAAGCTTTTACCATGATGTAATAGTCTCCTTGCCTTCCTTTGTAATGTACTTTGGGCACTCCATGGCTACCACCAAGAGCACTATTTTCCAGAAATCAATATAAATCATATCAGTTATGGCCATCATTAATGCAGTTCCACAAAAACAAACAGAAGGTAGATACCTACGTGTACACTTGCCATTCATATGGAGGACCATAATTACAGCCTTTGCTGTTTCTATGCTCAAATTTCAGAGCAACCTGA